TGTCTGTCTCTCTAACCCGTGTCTCTCTGCGTGTGTCTGTCTCTCTAACCCGTGTCTCTCTGCGTGTGTCTGTCTCTCTAACCCGTGTCTCTCTGCGTGTGTCTGTCTCTCTAACCCGTGTCTCTCTGCGTGTGTCTGTCTCTCTAACCCGTGTCTCTCTGCGTGTGTGTGTCTCTCTAACCCGTGTCTCTCTGCGTGTGTCTGTCTCTCTAACCCGTGTCTCTCTGCGTATGTGTCTCTCTAACCCGTGTCTCTCTGCGTGTGTCTGTCTCTCTAACCCGTGTCGGTCTGCGTGTGTCTGTCTCTCTAACCCGTGTCTCTGTGTGTGTGTGTGTCTCTCTAACCCGTGTCTCTCTGCGTGTGTGTGTCTCTCTAACCAGTGTCTCTCTGCGTGTGTCTGTCTCTCTAACCCCGTGTCTCTCTGCGTGTGTCTCTCTAACCCGTGTCTCTCTGCGTGTGTCTGTCTCTCTAACCCGTGTCTCTCTGTGTGTGTGTGTCTCTCTAACCCGTGTCTCTCTGCGTGTGTGTCTCTCTAACCCGTGTCTCTCTGCGTGTGTCTGTCTCTCTAACCGCGTGTCTCTCTGTGTGTCTGTCTCTCTAACCCGTGTCTCTCTGCGTGTGTGTGTCTCTCTAACCCGTGTCTCTCTGCGTGTGTCTGTCTCTCTAACCCGTGTCTCTCTGCGTGTGTGTGTCTCTCTAACCCGTGTCTCTCTGCGTGTGTCTGTCTGTCTGTCCGCGTGTCTCTCTGCGTGTGTCTGTCTCTCTAACCCGTGTCTCTCTGCGTGTGTGTCTCTCTAACCCCGTGTCTCTCTGCGTGTGTCTGTATGTCTGTCCGCGTGTCTCTCTGCGTGTGTGTGTCTCTCTAACCCGTGTCTCTCTGCGTGTGTGTCTCTCACCCGTGTCTCTCTGCGTGTGTCTGTCTCTCTAACCCGTGTCTCTCTGCGTGTGTGTGTCTCTCTAACCCGTGTCTCTCTGCGTGTGCGTCTCTCTAACCCGTGTCTCTCTGCGTGTGTGTGTCTCTCTAACCCGTGTCTCTTTGCGTGTGTGTGTCTCTCTAACCCGTGTCTCTCTGCATGTGTCTGTCTCTCTAACCCGTGTCTCTCTGCGTGTGTCTGTCTCTCTAACCCGTGTCTCTCTGCGTGTGTCTGTCTCTCTAACCCGTGTCTCTCTGCGTGTGTGTGTCTCTCTAACCCGTGTCTCTCTGCGTGTGTCTGTCTCTCTAACCCGTGTCTCTCTGCGTGTGTCTGTCTCTCTAACCCGTGTCTCTCTGCGTGTGTGTGTCTCTCTAACCCGTGTCTCTCTGCGTGTGTGTGTCTCTCTAACCCGTGTCTCTCTGCGTGTGTGTGTCTCTCTAACCCGTGTCTCTCTGCGTGTGTGTGTCTCTCTAACCCGTGTCTCTCTGCGTGTGTCTGTCTCTCTAACCCGTGTCTCTCTGCGTGTGTGTGTCTCTCTAACCCGTGTCTCTCTGCGTGTGTCTGTCTCTCTAACCCGTGTCTCTCTGCGTATGTGTCTCTCTAACCCGTGTCTTTCTGCGTGTGTCTGTCTCTCTAACCCGTGTCTCTCTGCGTGTGTCTGTCTCTCTAACCCGTGTCTGTCTGCGTGTGTCTGTCTCTCTAACCCGTGTCTCTGTGTGTGTGTGTGTCTCTCTAACCCGTGTCTCTCTGCGTGTGTGTGTCTCTCTAACCAGTGTCTCTCTGCGTGTGTCTGTCTCTCTAACCCCGTGTCTCTCTGCGTGTGTCTCTCTAACCCGTGTCTCTCTGCGTGTGTCTGTCTCTCTAACCCGTGTCTCTCTGTGTGTGTGTGTCTCTCTAACCCGTGTCTCTCTGCGTGTGTGTCTCTCTAACCCGTGTCTCTCTGCGTGTGTCTGTCTCTCTAACCGCGTGTCTCTCTGTGTGTCTGTCTCTCTAACCCGTGTCTCTCTGCGTGTGTGTGTCTCTCTAACCCGTGTCTCTCTGCGTGTGTCTGTCTCTCTAACCCGTGTCTCTCTGCGTGTGTGTGTCTCTCTAACCCGTGTCTCTCTGCGTGTGTCTGTCTGTCTGTCCGCGTGTCTCTCTGCGTGTGTCTGTCTCTCTAACCCGTGTCTCTCTGCGTGTGTGTCTCTCTAACCCCGTGTCTCTCTGCGTGTGTCTGTATGTCTGTCCGCGTGTCTCTCTGCGTGTGTGTGTCTCTCTAACCCGTGTCTCTCTGCGTGTGTGTCTCTCACCCGTGTCTCTCTGCGTGTGTCTGTCTCTCTAACCCGTGTCTCTCTGCGTGTGTGTGTCTCTCTAACCCGTGTCTCTCTGCGTGTGCGTCTCTCTAACCCGTGTCTCTCTGCGTGTGTGTGTCTCTCTAACCCGTGTCTCTTTGCGTGTGTGTGTCTCTCTAACCCGTGTCTCTCTGCATGTGTCTGTCTCTCTAACCCGTGTCTCTCTGCGTGTGTCTGTCTCTCTAACCCGTGTCTCTCTGCGTGTGTGTGTCTCTCTAACCCGTGTCTCTCTGCGTGTGCGTCTCTCTAACCCGTGTCTCTCTGCGTGTGTGTGTCTCTCTAACCCGTGTCTCTTTGCGTGTGTGTGTCTCTCTAACCCGTGTCTCTCTGCGTGTGTCTGTCTCTCTAACCCGTGTCTCTCTGCGTGTGTCTATCTCTCTAACCCGTGTCTCTCTGCGTGTGTCTGTCTCTCTAACCCGTGTCTCTCTGCGTGTGTCTGTCTCTCTAACCCGTGTCTCTCTGCGTGTGTGTGTCTCTCTAACCCGTGTCTCTCTGCGTGTGTGTGTCTCTCTAACCCGTGTCTCTCTGCGTGTGTGTGTCTCTCTAACCCGTGTCTCTCTGCGTGTGTGTGTCTCTCTAACCCGTGTCTCTCTGCGTGTGTCTGTCTCTCTAACCCGTGTCTCTCTGCGTGTGTGTGTCTCTCTAACCCGTGTCTCTCTGCGTGTGTCTGTCTCTCTAACCCGTGTCTCTCTGCGTGTGTCTGTCTCTCTAACCCGTGTCTCTCTGCGTGTGTGTGTCTCTCTAACCCGCGTCTCTCTGCGTGTGTGTGTCTCTCTAACCCGTGTCTCTCTGCGTGTGTGTGTCTCTCTAACCCGTGTCTCTCTGCGTGTGTCTGTCTCTCTAACCCGTGTCTCTCTGCGTGTGTGTGTCTCTCTAACCCGTGTCTCTCTGCGTGTGTCTGTCTCTCTAACCCGTGTCTCTCTGCGTGTGTCTGTCTCTCTAACCCGTGTCTCTCTGCGTGTGTGTGTCTCTCTAACCCGTGTCTCTCTGCGTGTGTGTGTCTCTCTAACCCGTGTCTCTCTGCGTGTGTGTGTCTCTCTAACCCGTGTCTCTCTGCGTGTGTGTGTCTCTCTAACCCGTGTCTCTCTGCGTGTGTCTGTCTCTCTAACCCATGTCTCTCTGCGTGTGTGTGTCTCTCTAACCCGTGTCTCTCTGCGTGTGTCTGTCTCTCTAACCCGTGTCTCTCTGCGTGTGTCTGTCTCTCTAACCCGTGTCTCTCTGCGTGTGTGTGTCTCTCTAACCCGCGTCTCTCTGCGTGTGTGTGTCTCTCTAACCCGTGTCTCTCTGCGTGTGTGTGTCTCTCTAACCCGTGTCTCTCTGCGTGTGTCTGTCTCTCTAACCCGTGTCTCTCTGCGTGTGTGTGTCTCTCTAACCCGTGTCTCTCTGCGTGTGTCTGTCTCTCTAACCCGTGTCTCTCTGCGTGTGTCTGTCTCTCTAACCCGTGTCTCTCTGCGTGTGTGTGTCTCTCTAACCCGTGTCTCTCTGCGTGTGTGTGTCTCTCTAACCCGTGTCTCTCTGCGTGTGTGTCTCTCTAACCCGTGTCTCTCTGCGTGTGTGTGTCTCTCTAACCCGTGTCTCTCTGCGTGTGTCTGTCTCTCTAACCCGTGTCTCTCTGCGTGTGTGTGTCTCTCTAACCCGTGTCTCTCTGCGTGTGTCTGTCTCTCTAACCCGTGTCTCTCTGCGTATGTGTCTCTCTAACCCGTGTCTCTCTGCGTGTGTCTGTCTCTCTAACCCGTGTCTCTCTGCGTGTGTCTGTCTCTCTAACCCGTGTCTCTCTGCGTGTGTGTGTCTCTCTAACCCGTGTCTCTCTGCGTGTGTCTGTCTCTCTAACCCGTGTCTCTCTGCGTGTGTATGTCTCTCTAACCCGTGTCTCTCTGCGTGTGTGTGTCTCTCTAACCCGTGTCTCTCTGCGTGTGTCGTCTCTCTAACCCGTGTCTCTCTGCGTGTGTGTGTCTCTCTAACCCGTGTCTCTCTGCGTGTGTCTGTCTCTCTAACCCGTGTCTCTCTGCGTGTGTGTGTCTCTCTAACCCGCGTCTCTCTGCGTGTGTGTGTCTCTCTAACCCGTGTCTCTCTGCGTGTGTGTGTCTCTCTAACCCGTGTCTCTCTGCATGTGTGTGTCTCTCTAACCCGGTCTCTCTGCGTGTGTGTGTCTCTCTAACCCGTGTCTCTCTGCGTGTGTGTGTCTCTCTAACCCGTGTCTCTCTGCGTGTGTGTGTCTCTCTAACCCGTGTCTCTCTGCGTGTGTGTGTCTCTCTAACCCGTGTCTCTCTGCGTGTGTGTGTCTCTCTAACCCGTGTCTCTCTGCGTGTGTGTGTCTCTCTAACCCGTGTCTCTCTGCGTGTGTCTGTCTCTCTAACCCGTGTCTCTCTGCGTGTGTGTGTCTCTCTAACCCGTGTCTCTCTGCGTGTGTCTGTCTCTCTAACCCGTGTCTCTCTGCGTGTGTGTGTCTCTCTAACCCGCGTCTCTCTGCGTGTGTGTGTCTCTCTAACCCGTGTCTCTCTGCGTGTGTCTGTCTCTCTAACCCGTGTCTCTCTGCGTGTGTGTGTCTCTCTAACCCGTGTCTCTCTGCGTGTGTGTGTCTCTCTAACCCGCGTCTCTCTGCGTGTGTGTGTCTCTCTAACCCGTGTCTCTCTGCGTGTGTCTGTCTCTCTAACCCGTGTCTCTCTGCGTGTGTGTGTCTCTCTAACCCGTGTCTCTCTGCGTGTGTGTGTCTCTCTAACCCGTGTCTCTCTGCGTGTGTCTGTCTGTCCGCCAGGACGTGTTCCTGATGATCCGTCGGCACAAGACGACCATCTTCACGGACGCCAAGGAGTCGACCACCGTGCTGGAGCTCAAGCGGATGGTGGGCGGCATCGTCAAGCGGTCTCCCGCTGACCAGCGACTTTACAAGGTGACTACTACCACTACTACAACTACTATAACTACCACTACACTACTACCACTATAGCTATAACTACTATAACTACCACTATAACTACTATAACTAGCACTATAACTATAACTACCACTATAACTACTATAACTAGCACTATAACTATAACTACTATAACTACCACTATAACTACTATAACTAGCACTATAGCTTATATAACTACTATAACTAGCACTATAACTACTATAACTACCACTATAACTACTATAACTAGCACTATAACTACTATAACTACCACTATAACTACTATAACTACCACTATAACTACAACTACCACTATAACTACTATAACTACCACTATAACTATAACTACCACTATAACTACCACTATCACTATAACTACCACTATAACTACTATAACTAGCACTATCGCTAGCATAACTACTATAACTACCACTATAGCTTATATAACTACTATAACTACTATAACTACCACTATAGCTTATATAACTACCACTACACTACCACTATAGCTACCATAACTACTATAACTACCACTATAACTACTATAACTAGCACTATAACTACTATAACTACCACTATAACTACTATAATTACCACTATAACTACTATAACTACCACTATAACTATAACTACCACTATAACTACTATAACTACCACTATAACTACTATAACTAGCACTATCGCTAGCATAACTACTATAACTACCACTATAGCTTATATAACTACTATAACTACTATAACTACCACTATAGCTTATATAACTACCACTACACTACCACTATAGCTACCATAACTACTATAACTAGCACTATAACTACTATAACTACCACTATAACTAGCACTATAACTAGCACTATAACTAGCACTAACTACCACTATAACTACCACTATAACTAGCACTATAGCTAGCACTATAACTACTACTATAACTACACTACCACTATAACTAGCACTATAGCTAGCACTACACTACCCTATAACCACTATAACTAGTACTACACTACCACTATAGCTACCACTATAACTACTATAACTAGTACTACACTACCACTATAACTACCACTATAACTACTATAACTACCACAATAACTACCACTACACTACCACTACACTACCCTATAACTACACTACCACTATAACTACCCTATAACTAGCACTATAACTACTATAACTACTACACTACCACTATAGCTACCATAACTACCACTATAACTACTATAACTACCACTATAACTACTACTATAACTACTATAACTACTATAATTACTATAACTACTATAACTACTAATACACTACTACCACTATAACTTATATAACTACTTCTATAGCTACTATAACTAGCACTACACTACCCTATAACTACTATAACTACCACTATAACTACTATAACTACCACTATAACTACTATAACTACCACTATAGCTTATATAACTAGCACTACACTAGCACTATAACTAGCACTACACTACCCTATAACTATCACTATAACTTATATAACTACCACTACTACCACTACACTACCACTACTACCACTATAACTACTATAACTACCACTATAACTACTATAACTACCACTATAACTACACTACCACTATAACTACCACTACACTACCACTATAACTACCACTACTACTACACTACCCTATAACTACTGTAACTACTATAACTACCACTATAACTACCACTATAACGATACTACCATTATAACTACTACTATACTACCACTACACTACCACTATAACTACACTACCACTATAACTACCACTACACTACCACTATAACTACTATAACTACCACTATAACTACTATAACTACCACTACTACTACACTACCCTATAACTACCACTACACTACCACTACACTACCACTATAACTACTATAACTACCACTATAACTACTATAACTACCACTACTACTACACTACCCTATAACTACCACTATAACTAGCACTATAACTACTATAACTTCTACTACACTACTACCACTATAACTACTATAACTACTACTACACTACCACTATAACTACCACTATAACTACCACTATAACTACAACTACCACTATAACTACTACTACACTACCACTATAACTACACTACACTACCACTATAACTACCACTATAACTACCACTATAACTACTATAACTTCTACTACACTACTACCACTATAACTACTATAACTACTACTACACTACCACTATAACTACCACTATAACTACCACTATAACTACTATAACTACTACTACACTACCACTATAACTACAACTACCACTATAACTACCAATATAACTACCACTATAACTATAACTACCACTATAACTACCACTATAACTACCACTACACTACCACTATAACTACTACTACACTACCACTACACTACCCTATAACTACACTACCACTATAACTACCACTATAACTACTATAACTACCACTACACTACCACTATAACTACTATTACTACCACTACACTACCCTATAACTACCACTATAACTACACTACCACTATAACTACTACTACACTACCACTATAACTACTATAACTACCACTACACTACCACTGTAACTACTATAACTACCACTACACTACCACTATAACTACACTACCACTACAACTACCACAACTACTACTACCACTACACTACCACTATAACTACACTACCACTATAACTACCACTATAACTACCACTACACTACCACTACTACCAATACTACCACTACACTACCACTACTACCACTACTACCAATACTACCAATACTACCACTACTACCACTACTACCAATACTACTACTACTACCACTACACTACCACTACACTACCACTACTACCACTACTACCACTACTACTATTACCACTACACTACTACCACTACACTACACTACTACTATAACTACTACTACTACCACTACTACCACTACTACCACTACACTACCACTACTACAACATTTATTTCGACCACTTTGTTGGTGAAGCCTTCAATAGCTGTGCCGGAGGAATTTCCATCTGGTACAGATACAATGGGAGGCTAATCGATGCATGGGTGCGGTCAAGGGATGGCTCCCTGTTGATCAACCACGTTATGTATGCCGATGATATGGTGATTGCTGCTCACTCAGAGCAGTTGGAGGTGCTGCTGCTGAACCTGGAGCTTGCCACAAATTAGTGGTGGTATTACCATCAGCCCCACCAAAACTAAGCACCTGCCTGGGTATTTTGTACCATCGGACACTCCACCCCCACAACTTCCAACTGGTGATGGGGCAGTTGTGGAGAGTTTCCCATACCTGGGCAATGTGCTCATGACCGGCTCCGGTTTAACAGCAGAGGTCTCACTCCGAATCAGTCGAGCGGCATTATCTGTTCATCGGTTGCGTAACGCAGTGTGGAAGCTACCTGGTCCGTCGCTCCGCGCGAAGCTTCAGGTCTTCTCGGCCAGTTATTCCCTCCCTTCTCTACGCTTGCGAAACGTGGACCCCCCCTAATGGAACATCTTCGCCGGTTAGAAACATTAAGGCTGGCCTGCCTACGATCCATCCTGGGTTTAACCAGGCTGGATTGCGTGAGGAGCTCACAAATCCTTGAAAGATCTGGGCAAAGTCCCATTGGTGAGCTCCTCCGGCAGGCAAGGCTGCGTTGGCTGGGTCATGTAGCCCGCATACCCAGCCACCGCATGCCTAAACCGCTTTTGTTCGGCCAGATCGAGGGGGCTAAACAGGCGCAGCACGGGCTAGAGAGGAGATGGAGTGATGTGGTACAGGAGAATGTGGAGCTAAGCGGACTTGCCGATGACTGGTATCAGCGGTGTCAAGATTGACCTCAGTGGAGGAGGCTCGTGAAGGACGCTACTGGGCAGTTGGTAGCAGTCGTCCTCCAACAACAACGGAGGGCAGAGGAGCGACGCTCACAACAATGAGCGGAGCACCGGGTGGCTAAAGCACAGCAAGTTGGTACAGTAGGGGGCACAGGTGGTGCATCAGCCAGTCATCTCGGTCAGTCGACCCGTGGCACCTGGGTCTGCCCCGTGACCTCCTGCCAGCGGGCGTTCGACACTTCACGTGGCCTCAAGGTGCACATGGCCTGGCACAAGCGTCGTGGTGACGTCACCGCCACTTAGTGGCGAATGGCGGTTGTTGTTGTTGTGTATCTGTTTTTGTGTGTGTGTATTTATATGTGTGTGTGTATCTATGTGTGTGTATCTGTGTGTGTGTATCTATCTATGTGTGTGTATCTATATGTGTATGTGTATCTGTGTGTGTGTGTATCTGTGTGTGTGTGTATGTATCTGTGTGTGTGTGTATCTATATGTGTGTGTATATATGTGTGTGTGTGTATATTTGTGTGTGTGTGTATCTATATGTGTGTGTATCTGTGTGTGTGTATGTATCTGTGTGTGTGTGTGTATCTATATGTGTGTATGTATCTATGTGTGTGTGTATCTGTGTGTGTGCTGCAGGAGGAGACTTTGCTGCTAGATGACTCCAAGACTCTGGGTGACTGTGGCTTTACCAGCCAGACGGCACGGGCCCAGGCACCTGCCACTGTGGGGCTGGCCTTCCGCTCACCTGGTGAGGAGCGCTGCTCACCACTGCGACTCACCACTACGACTCACCACCACCATACAGACACCACCACCATAGAGACACTCACCACTACCATACAGACACTCACCACTACTAATCACCACTAGCATAGACACTCACCTCTACTACTCACCACTACCATGGAGCCACTCACCACTACCAGCAGTGGTTGGCACTGCCGCTGCTGCTGATCGTTCGCTAACATCGCTCGCTCCCCTTACAGTCTGCTACCTGGGTAACCTCTACCTGTTGTACCCCTCTCTGCTGCCCTTCCCCTGCCCTCCGCTCTCCCTCTGCTGCCCTCGGAGTCTCTGCGGCTGGAGCCGTTCTCCGGCATGCTCGCTCACAGCACCTTGCCCCCTGCAGCCCAGCGAAGTAGTTTCAGCCGCACCAACCTTACCACCCTCAACCAGTATATATACAAGGACTGTTTTCTTGGAATTTCTCATTCACTTAATACAGCAATCATCCTGTATCTTACTTGATACAGCTATCGTGCTGTATCTAACTTGATACAGCAATCGTGCTGTGACGGTTCCACCTGAAGACGGAAGCTTGTGTTGCCTCAGAAACGTCGTGATTTTTATTTTATTTTAATTTAAATTTTTTACCTACGTGACTTTACCGAAAAAACCCAAGAATAAGCGAAGGCTTTCTTGGGTCACCTGTGTAGCGTTGTACCTCTGCTGCCCTCTGCTGCCCTCTACTGCCCTCTGCTGCCACTGGGTAGACGCGGAAGTGGTGAGGCCCTGCGGCTGTGGCCGTACTCCAGCCCTTGCCCCTTGCAGGCTACCTGGGTGACCTCTACCTCTGACTGCCCCTGCCCTGCTCTCTGCTGCCCCCTGCTGCCCTACCCCACTGTGTGGACGAGGAGTGGGGAGGCTGCTGCTGGTCGCTCGCTAACGCCACTTGCCCCTCCATCCCAGTCGAGGCTACCTGGCGCACCTGTACCTCTGCCCCTGTCCTCTGCTGCTGCCCCCCTCCGCTGCCCTTTGCTGCCCCAGCAGACGAGAGGTGGGAGGCCCTTGGGCTGGGGCCGTACTCTAGCAACACTCGCTCACTCTCAGCCCTCGCCCCCTTGAGGATACCTGGCTCACCTGTACCTCTGCCCTCTGCTGCCCTCTGCTGCCCTCTGCTGCCCCAGCAGACGAGGAGTGGGAGGCCCTGCGGCTGGAGCCGTACTCCAGCCCCCCAGAGCTCCCAGACGTCATGAAGCCTCAGGACGGAGGTGGCAGCAGCAGCAGCAGCAACGCCAATGAGCAGACCGTGCAGTGATGGTGTGAGGGGTAGGGGTGAGGGAGTGGTGAGGGGGTGGTGAGTAGCGGGGAAGCGGAGCCTGTAGCTCGCCCGCTCACCTGCTCACTCGCCTGCGTGACCGCTCAATGACCCGCTCAATCAACTGCTCACTCGCTCACTCTCCTGCTCGCATACCTATACACTCACCCACCCACCCACTCAACCATTCACTCAAATACACACCCACCCACTCACCCACCAACTCAACCATTCACTCAAATACACACACTCCCACCCACCCACCAACTCAGTCATCCACCCACACACCACCTACCCACACACCCAGTCACCCACACATCCACCACTCCTCGCACCCATCACATCACCGTGTGTCCCTTCTCTACCCAGACTCTACCCACCGCTCGCCCCCCCCCCTGTGCCCCCCCCACCCCGCCCCCCCTCCCCACATGCCCACCCAGGGAGGTTGACTGCATTTTTTTTTGTGTTGCGAACGCTGGCACCCCCCTCCCTCCCTCCCTCTCCTCCCACCCTCCCACCCTCTCCTCCCTCTCCACCCTCCCCTCCACCATCCCCTCCCCTCCCTCCCCCCTCAACTCAACTCCCCCGCAAATAAACAAACCTCGTTTGACAAAATACATCCGGCTCCCTCCTCACTTCCCCCGCTCCTCCTCACCACGTCGCTCACCACGGCGTCGCTCACCACGGCGTCGCTCACCACGGCGTCGCTCACCACGGGGGTTCCTCCAAGACACGACGAGAAACTTACTGCCAGTGGCCATGTGGAGAGGCTACCATTCCCCTGTCAGGAGCTGGACCGGTACCCTCTGGACCTCTGTGAGGTCCAGTGTACTGGTTCTGGTGCGTGTGTTTGTGTCACGGAGAGGCTGCCATTCCCCTGTCAGGAGCTAGACCGGTCGGTACTGTCTGGACCTCTGTGTTACACAGATCCGGTGGACTGGTTTTGGTGTTTGTAGGAGAGAGGCTGCCACTCCTCTGTCGGGCGCTGGACCGGTACCATCTGAACCTCTGTGGAATACAGGAGGGTTCGATGGACTGGTTCTGGTGTGTGTGTGTAGAGGCTGCCATTCCTCTGTCAGAAGCTGAAGCGGTCCCACCTTGACCACTTTGAGGTCCAGTGGACCGAGTCCTGGTGTGTGTAAAGTAGAGGCTGCCATTCCTCAGGAGTTACACCGGTACCATCTGGACCTCTGGAACACAGGGCCGGTAGACTGGTTCTGGTGTGTGTAGGAGAGAGGCTGCCATCCCCCTGTTGGGAGCTGGAGTGGGTGAGTGGGATGGGTGGTTGCATGTGTGCGGGGGTGAGCAGGTTGGTGAGCTAGTGGGTGGCTGAGCGAGTGAGTTTGTGAGTGAACGTGTTAGTGAGGTGGCCGAGTGGTTGAATGGGTAGGTGCGGTAGTTAGTAGGTTGGTGAGCGAGTGGGTGGGTGAGTAAGTTTATTAGCGAGCGCATCAGTGAGGTGGCCGAGTGGTTGAGTGAGTCGGTGGGTGAGTGTTCATGGGGTGGGCGAGTGAGTAGGTTGGTGAGTTAGTGGGTTGGTGAGCGAGCACATCAGTGAAGTGGCTGATTGGTTGAGTGAGTAGGTGGGTGAGTGAGTAGGTTGGTGAGTTAGTGGGTGGCTGAGTAAGTTTATAAGCGAGCGCATCAGTGAGCTGGCCGAGTGTTTGAGTCGGTGGGTGCGTGAGTGAGTAGGTTGATGAGCGAGTGGGTGGGTGAGTAAGTTTATGAGCGAGCGCATCGGTGAGGTAGCCGAGTGGTTGATTGAGTAGGTGTGTGAGTGAGTAGGTTGGTGAGTTTAGAATCGGAATACACTGGAGGAATCAGATGAGCTGTAAAGCTCCTTTTCACAGATGTCAAGTCGGGGCACGGGGTAAGAACGTTACAACAAAAAACAAGCCAGTTGTCATACTCTTTGGTTCTTTCGGTAAAGTGACGTAGGTAGAAAAAGAAAAATAATAAATCACGACATTTCGATCGCAACACAAGCGATCGTCCTCAGGCGTAGAACTGCTGAATCAGGAAGAACAGCGAGAGAGCTGCTACAACAACAAGAGGTTATATATGCTGGCCAAGGGCAAGCAAGCGGGGTCTGAGCTGGAAAGGAATTCCATCCCTGCACGCAAGCACATCAGTTGTGTTCATGGGGGAGATTAGGGAGAGAGACTCGGGAGAGAGATTAGCATGTCAAAGTAAATGAGCTTCCGTCGCCGCATAAGATTATCGTCGCCGCGTATGCGCACAGCAGCAGTGTTAATGGGAGACTAGCACTATGCCTAATCTCTCCCATCAACAGAGAGATTAGGGAGATTAGCAAGTTAATGTCATGTCTATCCCACAAGCTGCGGCACAGCGACAGTGGCGTAAGGTACAAGACAGGTAAACAAATCGCACAAACACAAACAAGTACGACACTAAACCATCCCAATCCTATCAGACAAAGCCTACTGAGGTATCAAGTTACGGTGAAACCTTGGATTGCGAGCATTATTCGTTCCGGAAACGTGTTTGTAATCCAAAGCACTCGTATATCAGTTGTGATCACGTGATGCTCGGCAGACAAAGCGTATACGTACTACTCGTATTGCAAGACCTCGCTCGTTTATCAAATTAATATTAAAAATTTTTGCTCGTCTTACAAAACACTCGCAGACCAAATTACTCGCAATCCAAGGTTTTACTGTATTTTTCAGAAGAGACCTCGCCACCGCAAATGGAAGCTCAACAAAGTGGCCCATCATTTGGACATTTGTAGCGCCAAAATAATCTAAATAATCTCAACGCATGTTTCTAAATGTGAAGGGGGGAAGACTGGAGGACCCGGAGGAAAAAAAAAAATCCACGCGACCACAGCAGGAGAGACATGCAAACTCCAAATATACAGCAAGCGTCGGTATACAGCAAGCGTCGGTAGAACCCCTGACCTACATACCAATTTAAAGCTTTCATGACTGCAGGGATTCATATTCTTGGTTCTTTCGGTAAAGTCACGTAGAAGGGAAATAATAAAAATGAAACAATAAAATAAAATTCTCACGACGGCTGCTTGCGTTGTGGCCGAAACATGATAATTTTATTTTATGTTTAATTTTGATTATTTCTCTTTTACGTGACTTTACCGAAAGAAACAGGAATATATACTCCTGCATACCAGGCGAGGAAGGTAACATCTCATCACCATGGCGCTCCCCTTAAATAAAGTATCCAAGTTCAAATTGCATCATCAATTCCCGAGCTTGGGAAAGGGGTAGTCGGATAACAGCAAAAACAGTCCCAGACCACAACAAAACAACAGTCCTCAAGACAAACTTTACATTGAAATTTAACACTACACATTTGTAGTGACATAGAATTGGTCACTTAGCCAGCCTAGCGCTGGCTGCTGGCAGAGAAGGGGATCTGCAGCCTACAGCAGCCCTGACTGACAGCAGGCCACGTGATAGACCAGAGAGGGATCTCGGGGAAGGGTCAAGGAAGGGCAGACGTCGCAAACGGGTTTTGATTTCTTACCCGTACCCGGCCGCACTAGGGTCGCAGATGGGTACCCGTACCCAGCCAGGTACGGGTACCCGTTCCCTACCCGTACCCGTACCCTACCCGAAATGAGTGACAAACGGCTACTCACCAGTGACTCACGGCCTACCTGTACCCGTACCCGTACCCGGCCGCACCAGGGTCGCAAACGGGAACCCGTACCCGTACCCGGCTGGGTACGGGTAGCCAGGTATCGGGTAGGGTACGGGTATCGGGTACCTGGTTGCGACCTCTGCGGAAGGGGCACACCGAGAACCCGCTGGTAGGTTCCAGAAGCGGGCGTGACTGGTGGGCGGAGCCAGGCCACGGTGACAGTATAAGAGGGGCCCTGGGAAGGGACCTCGGGGCTGTCGTTTGGAGTGGGATCCCCGTTGTGCTGCTGGAGTCTTTACCATCGTCGCCATCTTCATCTCGGCGTGGCCAGTCAGGCACTCTACCAGCTGTCCTGACTGATTTCAAATCAGCACCCTGCTATCGGCATACCCAATTTTCATTGATTTTACCCGAAATTAACTCTGTCACTTATCATTGCAAGTTGTTGCGAGTCAGTGACTGCTTTAGTGTTAAAATATGGTGGTGTATTTTTAGGATAGTGTGTTTATAATATCATTGTATGTAGATATCCACATTTATGTAATATTTTTCTTCAGCAGTTTTTATTGAAAATGCAATATTTGATATCTCAAAAACCTGATGGGATAGACAAAAACTGATGCCAGATTTGAAATCAGCACCCCAAAATTACCTTAAACCCGTTGGAAAACCTTATGTCAGAAAAAGTGTGTTGACCAGTGTAATATTTGGTCGCGAAAGCCTGGCGTGGTGATTCCAGGGCCGGATGAAGTTTTTTTTTAGGCCCTAGGCACTTCTGTTTCGTAGGCCTTCAGTGATCACTTTCTGCAGTTGGTTCTGCTGCTGCTCCATTTTACTACCGATGCTGTCACTCGCTTGTTTCACCGTCGTCTTCGTCCAGCTGCTGAACAGATGTCGTTACCGCTGACACGTTCATGATTTAGTCTGTGCCCTCATTTGATGGGTCGCAAATAAGCAGATTTAACCATAATAGAGGTTTTTGGGTTAGATCTCATAAAAATGCGTCGTTAAACCCACCACCCGACAGCCAATTAATAAGGTTTGTCACGTAAACAGAACATGCCAATTTGTTACTAGTACAGCACCACCGGAGTGTTGGAGAGTAAATCCGCAACATTTACAATCGGAGCACGAGGTTCCGCCATTAATTACAACCGGCATCATCAGGCGACAGACAGATTTGTGGAGAAATTCCTCCTGTTTCGTTTTTAAATACGGGGATGAATATGATGCGGTGACTTGTGAGCCAATGAGGTGCGAAGGCCAGGGGGGAGGGAGGATACTTCACACCAGAAAATTAGAGAAAAATGGCGAATCAAGCGGATGAAGCTGGTCTCTTTGCTGGCGTTCCTCAAAAGATGCAGGGATTAAATGGTAACGCCACACATTCATTGACTTCTGCCGATGGGTCTCCAGACAGCGCCAGGCACTTTTCAACGGTTGATGGAGTTGGTCTTGACCGGTCTTCAATGGGACCTCTGCTTGATTTACTTGGACGACGTCATCGTCTGCGGTCGCTCTCTTTGGGGGAAGGGGACATTCACAGTGGTTGGCACTGCTTTTTTCACGTGTAAGGGTTAGGCCTGGCGGCCAACCCTGGTGGCAGTCGGCAAGGGAGGCGGCGCAAGCGGCAACTGCGGCACAAGCGGCCGCGTCCGCTCGCTTGCTGAACGAACGGGGCCAGGCAGCAGGAGGTCGTTCTCGCGTTCCCACTCGCAGCAGGGGACAGCGTCGGGTTGCATTGCCCGCAGCACACGCGTGTGCACACACACACGCACACACGTGCACACACACGTGCACGCACGCGCGCACATGAGGGCGACGCGTTCATGGACGACTCGCATCGGCACGTTCTTTATTGGGGCAAATGGAGCGGTATGCAGGTGACCCCTGACTTACAACGGTTCAACTTGTGACCCCCCCCACCCTCACTTTTATGACCTTTCTTATAGTGATAGACCCCCACAGTATAGTATATACATAGTAG